AGTATATATTCTGGCATTTTTTTAACCCAGTAAAGAAATAAAAAATGGTAATGTACTTATTTCTGTGTCTTCTTCCATTCGTTCGAAAGTTGATTGATGGCTAGAATTGATCAATTTTGTAGTTTTCTTAGAATTTACCGCAGACTTCCAGGAATCTTAAGAATTGTAATGAATCCAAAAACTCGATTGTACTCTTATGTATTAATTGGAAAAAATTTGTAAGGAAAAAAGGCAAGAATATATTCTAGGAATTGCGTGAACCCAATATTTGCTTTCATTCTGACATTTGTTAATTATTTTAATTTGTTATTTGAAACCATTTATAGAAAAGAAAGGCTAGAAGAATATAGCCAAGGAATAATACGAATTTAAAAATTCGACTATATACATTTATTCGAAACAAATCAGGACAAAGAAAGAAGTAAATCCTAGAAATTATATTAATTCAAAAATTCGGCCGAAAAATTTGAATACAGCCAAGCAAACATATGAATTCAAAAATTCCACTATATTCGTATACATTTATTGGAAACCATTCATAAAAAAAAAAGAAAGAAAGAAATCCTAGAAATTATATTAATTCAAAAATTCGGATAAAGCCAAGCAAAAATATGGATTCAAAAAATCAACTATATTCGTATACATTTATTGGAAACCATTCAGAAAAACGAAAGAAGTAAATCCTAGAAATTATATTAATTCAAAAGTTCGACCGAAAAATTCAGATAAAGCCAAGCAAAAATATGAATTCATATATTCGACTATATTCCTGATTATAATTTATTTATTTTAATTTATTGGTAACAATTCAGAAAAAAGAAAGAAGTTTATCCTAGAAGTTTTTTAAATTAAAGGTTAACTCTTGCTTAATTTGTAATTTATAACAGATGTTATTTTCTTCTATACACCATTTAGTGTTTCTCTCAGAGTTCTGAATGAACTCATTTATTTCGCCGAATTTTCATCCAGTATGTGATAAAGAGATGATAGCATAAATGCGTATACATTGGAAAATGTAAATCCGAGAAATCTTCAAGTAAAGTAGTTTACATCAATTCACAAACTTGATTTTAAAATAAAAACAAATAAATAATAAATATTGTACATTGCTTGTTAAAAGTCTCACCAGCTACTTCCTCCCTTTCTATTTGAAGTTCTAGCAAGTAAGTTTCTTCTTTAAGTTATCAGATTGTAATGTGATTCTTCTTTTATATCAACTGGCATCTCTGAAATAGAATTAGTGTTATTTAGAAAACGTAGGCCTAGGAAGAAGAGCTTACCTGAAATTTGAATCCGGTTAGTCAGAAATACAGGTTAGGTAAGGTATAAGTGCAGGGACCACTTATTACTTATCCTGAGTAAGTAGGTACAGTCTGTCTATCATAAGAAATGCTCTCGCCAGCTAGTCTGCAGCTGTATGTTGCCATAGAAACGAGTCTTGATTCATTTTCCGTAGTCTTGAAGTCGTCTTGAAGATTTACTTTTCAGTTTGCCATCTTGGTGCATTTAAAGATGAAATGGCAACCTTTAGTTCGCCCCTATTTGAAATATACTAGCCCTGTTGCTATAGCGACCGCCATCCGCCAGACACTGTGGCGGGAGCTGCTGTTCTCGTAGACAGACAGTAAAGGCCCTTTAGACTATCTACCCAGATAAACATCGCCTTCCTGGAGCCATTTTGTAGCCGAGGTGCTACTGTTTCTTTGCTGCAAGCTCTGCCACCGCTGGCGGTGTCGTGAGTTGTACCGTTTATGTTCCGGCTTGGGCAGGTGCGGCATTTACACTGCTGCCTAGATTATACATTAAACATTGTATACACGCAATGGTTATAATAGGAATACATTACACTGTTGCTTAAGTAATATGTTAGCCTGCTTGGACTGGTGGGGCATGGCGTATAACTGTGGGCGAAACGATTGCATCTTCATCTCACCTGGCCATTTATTGCTTAGATATACGTAAGCTTAGCTCATTGCACTATTTGGGAGCAGAGCTTAAATTGCGCCAGTGGCCTTGTGACCACCTTGGTCCCGCACGTGCCACTCTAATGTCTCCTACTGTAGAGCTCTTGTAAACTTCTTGAGCGATGTAACCAAACGTCAGAACCACTGTTGTCATTGGTGCAGAGGAGTCCTACGTTTATTCATACGTTGTTATCGAATCATAGTCAGGGAAATTATATCTACAGCTAGAATTATATCGACAGGGCATCGCGATCCGAAAGTCTTGGACGCTTCCCTCTTTATTTTCAAAGGTACACTTTTCCGTTAAAATTTCCTTCCACACCCTCATACTGTTTGTAGAATTTTCACTGTTCTCCTTAGTGACGCTTTAATCGTTTTATCTTTTTTCACTGGTTAGCTGGAAAAAAAAAAAAAAAAGAATGGTTTCTATATCCGTCATCCCTTGAAATAGTATGTTAATCATATAATCAGGGCTTGGAGATCGGCTGAGCTGCCCCTTCGCTTTGGAGTGGAATTTTCGGATATTTTTTTTCATTTAACTATTTAAAATTAATTTAAGAATTAATCATATTTCTGTTTATTTCTTTACATTTCTTTTAATTTAATTTTAATTATTTAATTATTTTAAGTTTTGTCTATTTTATTTATTTTTTCCTTCGTTCCTCACAGTTTTCCATAGGGCTTCGGCACTTCTAATTTTAGAAATGAAGCCCTGCTTGTGAGTGCTCTACTTAAAACTTGAATTGGAAGCCGTCACTAAAAAGTCACCAATATTTCTTAAAACAGAAATAAACATTGATACTCTCACAAGTGACGGTTTCAATAAAAGATTCAAATTGTCTAGAATTACAGATATTCGTTTTTAGCAGATTACGCTTACAAATAAGACTCTGGTGGTAATTGTCAGAACTTCAGAATTAAACCGCAGATATGTAATATGTAAACATTTACAGTTACGGTGGCTTTAATCATTCAGTAACTGAACTGATCGTTTTCAATTAGGTTGAACAATTTGATGACCTGCCATCTATCGGTTAGTTTCACAACAAGGTCAGCGTTTGTTATAAATCACGTGATGCGGTTTGTTCTCTCATGTGAGGATTTACGAAGCGTCAAAAAGAGAAAACCGCACAAACGATAGAATATAAAGCACAAACGGCGCCACTTCGTGTCAATCGGTGACTATCTAGAAAACATGTTTGTAGGTCAAACGCAATACTTGCAGTTAAGTTCCCCGTTGAAAACACCTGGTATTGAACTTTGGATATTTCAAGACAGTATTCGAATCGTTTTAATGAAACGGCTACCGATGATTTGATCGTCTGCCGTACTGTTCGATGGGGCTGGTCAAAGATACGTGTTCTTAACCTCGTAAAAAAAGCGCTCTTTGAACCCTTTCCGCGCTGAACCTTTTTACGTGACTCGAACAGGCGGATGGAAAAAAAGAAAAGGAAGATCAGTTCTTCCGTCACGTGATCTGAAGCGGCCGTAGCGCTCCCAGCGTTGAGTAAGCGCTCAGAATGCAAGAGCAGAAATAAAGTGCATGATGTTGCCATATTTGACCATACGCTCAACTTAGAAGCAAAGTACGGTCAAGGCAGCATGTGGCGGTAGTGATGGCGGAGGGAGAGTTTTTAGCCTAGAAAAACAAATTCATCTTTCATTATTACACTGCCTTATAAATCTTATTTTATAATATTACACAATAATATTGTTATATATATATATATATATTAAACATGAGTTATACAGTTTTCAAGAATATTATATTATCTTAAAAAGAATATATTTCAGTGTAAAAAAAATGAATAAAAGAATAATGAGTAATCAGGTTGGGCGAGTTAAGTAGGAAAACTGAAATGTTTGTACGTATTATCAATCATATCAATAATATGAGGACAATGTTACAAAATTTAATACGAATCAAATGGTTTTCGATTTAAGTTTTAAACATATGTGGAGTTATGGTACAGTCTCAAAATTACTTAATAATATTTCGAGTTAGTATATAATCTGAATAAGTCTATCATAGTTAGCAGTTCAAACATCCTGAAATTTCTCACATTAATAATTCAAACATTAATCCTCCAAAACATTTTGCTAATTTTTTGCAAAATATAACCTAAATATAAGTGTACAGTCTTTTAAAGTGTACTAAAAAGAATTATATCTTACTTTTTAATAATTCGACTTTATATTTCTTTATTTCGGTGGCAATGAATTTATTCTATTTTACTTTTCACAGTTTTTAGATTTCATGAGTGAATCATACATTACATCTAAAACCTGTAATATTCATTAATTGATGCATTAGCGTGATAATTGATATTCTGTAGTTGCAGAAAACGTACATGCATTTATTCTCATGTATATTTAATCTTTCCTTACGCGTGAAATTAACCCCAATATAATGCTAAAAATTCTCAAAATTACTACTTGTTCAAGTTAAATTTGTGTGTTTCAACTGTACTCATTTAATTAAAATTTTAGGCCTCTATGTTTATAAGATTCATTTGCGGTCGAGTGACCGCTGAACTCTGGTAGTTCAACTCAGCTTCATTTGCCGACGAACGGATTGACATGCTTAGGTTTCTCTTGACTTTTCTTATATGAAATATGCATAGAAGTTAATTCCCCTGATCAAGTCTTATCAAGACGTTAACAAGTCCTTATCAAGTATTTTCCTTCCTTAGATGAATAGCCCTCTCATCCTTTAACTAACAAAATAACCATCTTTTTACTAGCTATTAAAATTATTAGTTTTCTAGTTTTGTATTTAGCATTTCATTGTAATGAGCTATTTGGATCGAATGCTTGTTTCAAAAATAGCCGGTGAAGCGATTGCGCCATTACGTGTTTTACGTACTTTTTTAATGACCTATGACCAAATATGGCGGATAGTGTGACAGTCTCAGCATTAGCTTCTCTCTTTCTGATTGGACATGACGCAACGGTAGTCATGGGATGACGTAACAAAGCTACCGCGCGCTCCAACTGACAGCTGAGTAGTTCATTTAAACGAGCTGAAAGTTTTGTTGTGGCTAGCTAGCTAACTAACGTTTGAGTTCAGACAGGTGGTTGCTGGTATCAAAGGGATAAAGTGTTTTCCGGCGCATTATTTCTGTGGAGTTTAAATGCGCATTTGAATTTTGTGTCTGTTACTGAGCCATATTATTCCAAGGAACCTTTTATTTCAGCAGTAAATTTAAGTTCAAGGAAACATGTTGGAAAAACGTTTACTGAAACCTCGAACAGGTATGGATTTGCATGTTTGTTTACAAAATATGCTTACACGAACCGTCCCATTGACTGAAACGACATAATAATGTGGAATATTTTTTATTATGAATTATAAATATATTTTAGCTTTAGATATTTTAACTCGGGATATCAAATGTCTTAATATTCGTGGTTTTTTAATAATATTTTATTTTAATTAGACACTCTTAAAGAAAAATGTTGGGAATATATCAACTATTGTAATGTTAAATTAATTTATTAGCCGTTTAAAACATTTTGATCAGTACAAGATGCGTACGTCAACATCGTATAAGAACACTAAATGTAATTGTCTGCTTTTTTTCTTGAGATTATTTGTTATAACATTTATGCATGGAATAATGCCAGTTTGAAAAATCTTATTGCCAGCATGTATAAAGAATATATCTCTCTTACAGTTTTTATGTGAAAATTTTTAAAATCTTAAAAAATGTAGTATTTCTATAAATTATTATATGGCCAAAATTACCAAAATTAGAATAATTTTTATTTCTTAATACGAAGTAAAAGAAGCGCTGTAATCGCGAAAAATTTCGGGTATCATATTTCAACGGAAGTTTCCATTTTGACAGCTCTCAAATCCGTTTGGACGATTTTTTGCGCAACGCTTGTACATACGGACAGAATAAAGGATTCTTTTTTTTTTTCAAAACGGATTGTAAAATTTATTTAAAACGGATTCAAAAGGAACTTTTTTCAGGATGTCTGTATGTATGTACACATACACATGTATGTATCTCGAAAATGATTAGCCGTAGAATGTTTAAATTTTGTGTACGGGACTGCTATAACATCTAGTTATGCACCTCCTTTTTTATTGCAGTCAGCAGTACTCATCTTAAAAGTCATTACCAGGCCTTTTATTTTTGAAATCGTTGGTCGTAGTCAAATACTTCCAAATACAGAATTGTTTTCAATGACGAAAATATTCATGTTTTGAAATTGTGAAATTAAAAAAAAAAAATTTCTTGACAAATAACGAAATCTAAATTTTTAATGTGATCTCCCGATTCATGAACTTGAGAAAGTTTTATACTCGTTGTGAAAAAATAAAATTTTGAGAATTCTGACTCTCGTATAACAAAAATAAACCGGGATGTTTTAATTTCAAAATTTGTTATTTTTAATTTCATTTTCAGCTGGCCTCGAGGTATCGGTTAAATTTAGAATGATTGGAGGAAATAAATTTAAACGAAGTGCAGCAAAAAATATGTATAATTTAATAGGCTAAATAAGGAAGTCATGTAGTAGCCACACCAAAGTTTTTAAATTGGGTTCATGTTCAGAGTTATTTGAATGAACCATGAAAGTAACCTTTAAACTGGCTTTATTTATTGTTTCAAAATTTTAACTGCAAACTTTACTTACATGCTTCATTTTTAACATTATAAGTCGTATCGTTTGGCGTTAATTATATTTAAGGCTTTGAAAAATAATTTAATTATAGATTTTTCTCTGTGCTAGTTTACATGAAAAATTTGGATCTTTACTTTGGATGTCCATCATATATTTTAATATTTGTGTTTGAGTATTGTTGTAAGTATTAACTTTTGGTAAAAAGAATTATCCTTGAAAATTTTAAGTTGCTCTAAGTTTTATAGGAATTTCTCTTCAGTGTGTGTATTAAAAAACGTTTCTAGTCGAACGTACTTTAAATCACAAGTATAATTATTCTTGTCATGGATAAGCTGTGATTGAAAATGTCTGTCTGCTCGATTCTAGTGATAATAAGTGAGCTTGAAGGAAGGAAGCGATTCCGATAAAAAGGTAAAAAGGCAAAAAAATTAGTATAATTAAAACTTTTATTTGCCTCTGAAACCTGCACGCCGATTGGAGCTCCAGTTTTTCAGATCATTTATTTTTCGTTTAAATCTAAATCAAATTAAATGCGTTGCTGATACATTTATTTGCATTTTTTTATTATCAATGTTTTAACTAATTTATAAATTGTAACGCATTTCAGCTTCATACAGCGCGGACCGATGCAATATATTATACTAGAGTTATATTATGTTATTAGAAATAAACACTTTAAAAAATTCAGTTTAGTTATTCAGTTAAAAATTTTTATTAGTCTAAAGGGGCTTTGTCCTTGAGGAACCATTGTTTTCGTTTTTCGATGTTGCGTCAAAACACTCTGAATGTCCGTTTCAATTTTCAAAATGTTGCCATCCAATATTATCGCCCTGTATTATATTTGAAGAAATTAAATAATGAAGGATCTACATAAATGTATGTATGTCTCTCGCATTGTGATAAAACAACGGTACCTAGAGCCATCCAACTTTGAATGACGTAATCCTCCTGCGAATATGGGCATCTGGAAGCCCAAATTTGAAATTTGGAATTTGTTTTATTATCGATTTAAGATTTGTTATCGATTTGTTTTGTTATCGATGTGCAAAACTTTAACGAATTTTTGATTAAAACCTAGGATTTCAAAGCGAGCCATGGCAACGTTGTACAGAAAAAACATTTTTATCTCCAGCGCGTGAGACTGTGTATTGGAAATTCTAAAGATAGGCTCAATTTAATATTATTTTGGGATATTGCTCTTGAACTGAATTTTATGCTTTAAGTGCGAAGAACGTGAATCAAAATTAATAAATAAAGGTAACACACAAAATGTCAAAAAACGCCCCTTTGGACGTAATTTAAAATCTGAAACGTTTCAGTTTTTTTTTTTTTTTTTTTTTTTTTTTTTTTTGTCTTTTCTGCTAAATTTATTTTAATGTCTTAGTTGAATAGAAAAAAAAATAGTATACATTTTATTTTGCGCAGATAAAACAATTTTTAAGTGTGGTACGGAAAAATAAAGCTGAGATTGGTGTAAAATGTTTTAAAGTCTAGGAAGATAAAAATTTTAATTGTTTTAGTGTAATGACTTATGTATTTAGACAAATAAAAAATAACTTTATTTAATTTTATCAACAGAATACGTGTTTTATGTCTGATTTATCGAAATAAAAACTTAAATTTTTTGTAACTGTATCATGTTTGAGAAAACATTCGAGCTAATTAAAAAATTATTATCTTTACATGCTACTACAGATATATATTTGGTTTACAATAAACAATACAGCCCAATTATCTTGACAAATGTTTCCATTTTGTCCGGATGTTTAAGTTCTGCCGTAATTAGAAACAAATTAAAATTTAAAAACTTACTAATTAGAAGATTCGCACCATGTTTACAATATCAGTGATTTGAAGCTTTTCGGACGGCAATTTGATGTGCGTATGTAATAGATCTACATGCTAGTTAAGTTTATAAAAACTTTATCGATTTAGTTGCTAAATCTGTGTGTGATCGAGAAGTGCTGGACATGCGAGTTGCAAAAGAATAATACGAGCAAAGAGTATTTATCAGCACTCAACTACTTTGTACTTTTGTAGAAATTAACTTGTATTCGCTATTCTTGAAAGTTAACTAAAAATGTGTTTACTCATCAGCGAAATATAACCTTTTTCCTAAATAATGATTCACAGAGATGGGGTAGACAAGATATTGTAAATCATTAATTAAAATGGGCTTATGTAGAATTAAGCCACAAACTGATAGTTACATTCTAGCCAACACTTATATATTTTTTCTCCTGATATACTAATTTACATTTCTGAAAAAAGTGCATATGTTCCCAAAATAAAAATATCACACTGTGGATTAATTGAAATTTTGAATTAGCGTGTAAAATTAAAAATAGAATCTTACAGAAGTTGTTCGCACATTTTTTAGACGATTTTCATTGTAATTACAGAAATATTTTACCCAACATTTTTATGCTTTAAATGTTCTGTTTCATAACGCTTATTTTTTACTACATTTATATACCGTTATTTCAAAGACAAGCTTTTCTTGTTCCATTTTTTCCTCAGGAAATTAACAGTAGATTTTGATGTGTCGCTGCTTGCTTTATCTTGATGCAGTTCTACTGATTGATCTCAGTGTGTGTGTAAAGAGAAGTATTTCGTATTTGAAAATTGGGTATAAAATATGTTTTTGATAATATGTGACGCTGATCTTAACATTTTCCTCCACTCGCTTTATTTTTAATTTGCCGTTCTATGAAAAACCAGCAACTATCATAAATCTCTTAGGATATAGACTACAAAGGAAATGTGAAAGTTGTATAGTTCGTAGTTGAAGTTTTTAGTACCCTTTCACCTAACTTACATTCTTGCTTACTATTTAAATTCAATTAAGTTGAATTTCTGGTGGACTTGACAATAACAGTTAAAAGTGTCGGAAAGATTTTACAAACAAAATAATTTTTTTAATTAAAACAAATCTTATACTGTGCATTTGTGTTGCTTCATTGAATTTTCTGATCTTGTGGAAATTACTAATGTAGTTTTTTTTCTCTTGGTCTCGCGAAAGTGTCATGACGATGCTGTAAACTTTTCTAAAAACCTGGAAGCTGACTGGGATTTAAACTAATTATTAAAAATTACTGAACTAAATATTTTTTCCTCCGCAGGATTACTAAACATTTTTATCCGCCGCAGTCAGGCTACTGTTATTACTGCTACTTTTGGCTAATTTCTGTTTAAGGATAAAGTAAAGCTGATTTGACGTTGATGGTTTCGGATAATTTTTTTCGCGGGATGAAACTTGAATGATTTCATCTTCAAAATATAAAGTGCTGCATGATCTGACCGATGTGCACTTTGTGCTTTATGTTAGAAGTTTTAAGTTTCAAATTTCAAAGCCATCAGCGTTGCAATAAACAAGATGGCTAAATATTATTAGTTTTTGCTGAGCAAAATTCCGACGCCTCATTGGGCAAACTATTTAGAATTTTGGAATTTTCCCGTCGTGTCTCGTGAACGTGTGCCAGTTTTCCGTAGAATGTTCCTTGAAGGATGCATCTTTTATAAGAAGGATAGACTTTACGTGCTTTTCAGCGAAAAGGAAATTAATTTAGCTCAAATTTTCAAACATTTTAGGCGTATCTGACGAATTTAAATTCCTAAGA